GAGATCAAACCCAACCTGATTATTCATTCTAATGATATTTACATGTGTAGCAAAAAAAAAACCAAAAATATTTAAATTGAAACCAAACTGAAATGTGTTTATAATCCAATCGTTAAAAAAAAATGAATTAAAAGAAGAAAAAGTTGAAAGTAATGTAATCCTAATTGGATAAACCAATCTTATAATTTTTTTTTTAAAAAAAATCATACATATAAATCTATGTTCTACAAATCAGCTGCTTATGTTCTCTTTGGGCGACTACAATCACATAAACATCCTAATTTCGACCAAATCGATAAAAATATACATCAAAATAAAATCAATGTCTTTTTCTATAGATGCTTAATTAATCGGTTTATTCAGCCGAAAAATCTAATTATTAATCTATATTATTTGTTAGAACAAAAAAAAATCTTAATCTATATTATTCATATTAAAATTTTATTGTTAACATCATATTTAAAAAGTTTATATTAGTTAAACGTAAGAAAGCAATAGTATGACTTTTTTTTTTGATTAATTTCGAATTTATCAGATATGTGGTAGACATTCCCCTAGCTTATGATTAATGCATAGCAAACTTTCGTATATAATCATAACGTTATGAATATTTTTAAGGTACATACCTGTTATATTAAAATTTAAACTACACAGATACCAAACTTTTTTTTTTTGCACCAAACAAAATTATATTTTTTTATTTTATAATTATTTTAAAAAAATTTTTTTTTTTGCACCAAACAAAATTTATATCAACCCAACCTAAACCATACCAAAGCATAAATAGTTTTTCTTTGTTTCAATTTCTAGTAAACCGATAAAATTGAAATCCAAAAACACCGAGCAAAAATTTAACCACAAAAATATCTCCATATATGTCTATTTTTAAGGACACATTTTTGACTCAAGAAGCAGAACAAGTTTTACCACTAAAAACCACATGACTCGTTTAGTCAGTTTCAAGACTACAAAACAAACAACATCAAGAAAACACCAAACAAAAGACTGAGACAACAAAAGGGCTCTCTTCTTCTTGTAAGGTTCATAGATAGAGAGAGACAACAAAAGACCTCTTCTTCTAGTAAAGGATCAAAGAGTAAGTCAAATCCCTACTTAAAGCAAATCAACAACACTTTCCTTGCGTTAGGGGTTACATCTAAAACTCACTTCTTCCAGAAGTTCTTGGAGAATATCCTCTTGCAATATGGACTCATCTTGACGTTTTCACATCTTCGTACCTTCTCCACCAAGCTCGCTCGAACAAAGCCCTGTTCAAATCCAATTAGTTTCCGCTACTATGTTATCAAGTCTCTTATACAAAATATGATCACATGACTAACTAACCTTGGTTTTGGATAGAGCAGATTGGATAACGTAGTTAGCGTAAGGGTCTTGAACAAGCTGTTCGAAGTTTGGAACAGAGACGAGCTCGTGCACAATCTGAGATCTGCTTTCGGGATAAAATCTGATGCATTTCTCCACCACATGGCTACCAAACTTCTGTGTAGCTAATTTCACGTAATTCCCTCGTAGCTCAAACATCACATTCACTCCTCCCACCTTCTTCTCTATTATGTATTGCACCACATAGTTCCTGCCATCGATTCCACATACACAAAAAGAAGATCCAAAGTTGAAAATGTGAACATCAATCACAATAACAATGCAAAGTTCTACCTAGCAATGTCCTGCACATTTCCATTACGTATATTTAGTAACAAACTATATAATATCAATGTGGAACAAAGGTATTAATGTAAATGGGACATATGTGATTTGAAATATCCAAGCTTTATTGAAACATATACTATTACTTAAGGTATTATTAGTAACAAACTATATATCAGTATTGAATCTTGTAGAACCAAATTGATATGTATAAGAATTGTTACCCGTAAGGGTCTTGAGCAAGGAGAAGAGAGTTTCTGGATATTTCACCAACAAGCTTCTCATGTTGCTCCCCAACCGAGTATGAAACGCAGCGTTGAAGCACACAACATCCATGGCGATGAGTCGCAATCTCTGTGCAGAACTTAATAGCAGCCTCTAAAATGAACTGCACAAGCAAAAAAATATAATTATCACATATCACCAAGCCTTAAAATAACATTTTCAAGAATATGATCTAAGGAAGAGTTTATGTTATAACCTTGTTATCATTAGGACCAAAGAATTTCAAGCAATTTAGTATCACATGGTTTCCATTTAATTCTCTAACCAGAGAGAGAAATCCCGGTACAAGAGCTGACTTAACCAGACTGATTTGCTCCTTTGTAGTCACAGTCTCAATCAACTTCTGCACCACTCGTGTCCTGGACCCAAAACATCAAACCAAAAAAAAAGTTTCAGCTTTTATCATAATAGAAGCATAACCAAAGATTTCCAAAAACATGGTTCATCAAGTCAAGTCAAAAGTCTAACCAAGAGTCGAATTGTTTCTTTTCAAAGGTCTAAGTTTTGTCTAAATCAGTAAAAAACAATTCATCTTTTTTCCTATCAACAATATCTGACAAATTTTCTCAAAGATCTCATTTTTCTTTCTTTCCTTAAATAGCTTAGATTTCTTCTTTTTCGAAGAAAGAAAGATCTCATCTTTCCTCCACAAATATGTAACAAAATTTCATGTCTCCTTAATTCTTGTGCTTATGACAAAAAGCTAAACGTCTATTTTTTTACTTTTCAGATAATTTTAAATGCAAAATGCTTTTATACAATGAGAAGATATATATGATTATATATAGTTCTATTCAAAAGTTAAAAGGATAATGAAGCTAACCCATAATTGTTGATGGAGATTTTGATAAGAAGTCCAGGTTTTGAAGTCAACCTAATGAGAATCTGAGTTCTTTGTTCTTCATTGCAGACTTCAAGAAGCTTCTGGATAAAATAGTTACCAAACGGATCTATTCCAAGCTCAGCGATATGATTAATGACTTCCTTAAATACAATCATTACATCAACAAATCTTCCTTCTCCCACAAACTTCTGTAAGAATCGACAACCCAATTGATCTTTTGCCATTAAGCACACAGAACCATAGATATCAACCATAGAAGCAAGATCTAGAGGCAAATCCAGTGAATCTTCCTTAAAAAACGTCTTAGTAGAACCCTCAAGCTCTCTAGAACCTCCCATGGCTGAAAATGGTGGAAAGATCCTGTCTTCATGGAAAGCTAATCGAGATTTCTGTGGAAGTAGTGAAAAGTCTCGTCGGATTTGTTGATTGAAATGCTCCAACTCTAACATGTAATCTCTGTTATGAAGAGACATGTTGTTCTCTGTAAAACCTCTGTGATGGTTAAAGCTAGGGTTAGGGTTATAAGCTTCTTGTAAGGCAAGCAATCTGAGTCTATGATAATCACCATCACCAACATAACCACTCATAGAAGATCCACCATGAAAGCTCTGTGCAAAACCTTCACGCCGACCTCTCACTCTCAGATCCTGTTCGAATCTATGAACATCACCATAACCAACAAAACCAGAAGCTTCGCCATTAAAGCTCTCACGAGCTTGGTCAAACCTAGAACATCCATAGCCGGAAAAACCAGAGTGGTTGAAAAAACTGCTTCTTTCATCGGAAATACTCATTTTACTGAGGTTTTGACACAAACCCATATCACCACCATCCGCCATTAACGCCGTCGTATCAAGCTTTCGAAGGTTCAGAAAAGGGTTTGTTGTACGGTCACCGGAAAAGTGAAATCCTCCATTAGAGACAGAAGAAGAAGAAGTTAAAGGAAACCCACCAAAACCCAGATCAGTAAATGAACCTCTTTGTCTCAAATCACCAGGAAAAAACCCAAAATCCATAAACTTGTTCTTCTTCGTCTCTTCAAACATGAAAAAAGGTCAAATTTTTATGATAAGGAAGAACAGAGCAGAAGAGACAAATTGAAGAAAAGAAAAAAAAGTGATTTTTGGAGATTTTCCTGGAAAATATTTTCTGGGTTCTCTGAGATTTTTGGGAATCTGGCGATTATCAGTTTGTTATAGAGAGTGAAGCGTGGCTCTTTGTACGTACGGAGACAGAGTCTATTTGTCGTTTTATGAATACAGAGACGGCTGCTTCCTATTGTACCACTGTTTCTCGCCTCTGCAGAAATAAAAAAAAAAGTTGGAGAGAGACAAAGATGAAATTTATTATATTCAAAAAATATTACCATTTTTGTAAAAGTTTGTTTATGGTTTTTTGCTTTTTGTTATTTTTTGGGTCAGAATTTAAAATCCAGTCATTTGATGTAAATAAAGGTTTCTATTAGAGTATTAACTTACTCAAATTAATCTATACTAGTATTTTTTAAGTACATTTTTAACGGGTGGATTAAATTTTTATCCGACAAATTTGAAATCCGATCCGATAAAAAATTTACTTCATAAATCTTATACTGGATAGTTCATATCCTTTTTGAATCGGGTCAAAACATATCCGATATTATAAACTAGACTAGATCATGACCCGCACGTACGTGCGGGATTTTATATTTTAAAAAATGTGTTCTATAAAATATATAATCAATTTGTTTGTTTTTCAGTTGTTTTTAAGAAACTATTTTGTTTTTGTTTTTTTGGGAATTAGATAATAGAATATATACCATAATATTAGAAATTTATTACAAAATTATATTCTGTGTTTTTAATAAGATTTGGTACACAAATTTGTTTTATGTTTGATTAGTTATACATTTAGAATAGAAATATAAGTTAAAAATAAGTAAGTTTTTATTGTTGAATGATTGCATAGTTTTGTTTGGTTTTGGTAAATAATATATAAATAATTTGGGCAGTTGCAGAATTGGTATGTTTTAGTTATAATATTGATTATGATTTTTATAGAATAATAGATTTTAATAAAACGTAAAACAATTTTTTTTTTTTTTTGGTGATTTGTAAAACAATTTATTTGGTAATACTAAATTATTGTTTATAACTTTATCCAATGGTTATTATTAATTTTTTGCTAAAGGGATCCAATGAAAATTATAAAAAGAGAAACGCTATACCCAAATTTTAATATAGTGGGCCATAACTCAATCGGAAATTATTTGTATTTGGGCCGAAATATATATAGACCCAAATCATAATACTATTGCAATGGATCCATTTATTCGTTTGTTTGTTTGGATTAAATATAGAGATAAATATATGACTCATTTTTTTTTTTTCGTTACGGACAGATAGTTGCAAAAGAAAAAACAATTTTTTTCTTATGGGTGATAAAAAACAACATCCTACAAATCTCAGGCGATTGTTCGTTCTAAGAATCAATCCCAAAATTGTCTAATAATCGATCTATTACGTCTCCGTTTACCTCTTTTCATGTCAAATTCATAAAAGAGGTAAGCTCTGCATTTGATTGTGATTTTTGACACATATTTTTAAAAAAAATTTGTCAATTCGATTTGGAATCTTTGAAATTTTCTGTTTGAACTGAGTTCTTGGACAATAAATGTCAAGAACCCAAATCGTTACATATAGAATACAGAAATCTGAATCTCTTTACATAAATCGTCAGTTGTGGGATCGTTAATTTGAGTGTGTTAGCTAGTAAACCAATCTCTTTACATAAATCGTCTGTTTTCCGATTTAAGATTTTTAGAAATTCGATTGTCTATAGATATTAACAGTTGAATTTGTGTCATGATATGTCTTCTAATTGCAATTTTTTCTATATATATAGTTCAGATAATGGTTTGCCCGACGATGTTGCCAAAAGAAGATGATTCTGAAGAAGATAAGGTTTATGTTGCGATTATCAGAAAATAATAGTTATTAATAAATATGTGGTCCTGATGATAGAAAGTTCAATGTATACATGCCAATATTCATGTCAGATTTACTTATTATGAAGAAGAGAGGTTCAATGTCATCTTTTGAGCTATTCAAAATACTTAAGCAATATTAAAGGTTAGTAAAATGATTCAGTTTACACTTTTGTTTAGTCGATAAGAACATGTTAGCTACTGTTAGAGTTAAATTCTTTTGAAGAATGGAATTTCAATGTCATCTTCTGAGCTATTTAGAATCCTGGGGCAATATTAACGGTTAGTGATATTTTAATGATAACACTTTATTTATTTGAGAAGAACATGTTAGCTACTGTTTAAGCATTTTATTTTGAAAAGTGAAAGGTTTAGGCTTGACGTTTTTTTCATTGTATGTTAAATGATTTTATTAAATTTGAGTTTGGAAATGTATAATGTATACAGGCAAGCATAATCTCGGAGTTACATTCACATGGAGGAGGCTTCTATTGATTTTGGCTGTGGAGAAGTTAACACAGCCTTATATAATGTTAAAGGTTAGTGAAATGAAAACTACTCTCTATTTTTTTTTTTTTAATTGGTAGTTAGGATAGCTGCGGTTATAAATTTAGATTTTGTAAAATTGTTGTAGAAATCAATTTTTTGGCATTGTTTGTTTGATTGATTTACGAAATTTTAGAGTGGCCATCCATTAACTTGTGTTATCGTTTGATAATACTTTAACTGGGCTACTGATTATGTATATGAACACATTAACTGCCAATTGCCTAATATAAAGTTACAAACACAATTAACTTTTGGAAAACAAAGTTAAGGTGTTTTGTTTTTAATGTTTAAGATTGTCTGAAAAGGAAAATAGAAATAACTCAATGGCGATTCTAAACACTTCATTTCTTCTCTGGAAACTGATTTCAGTAACTCCTTTACTTGCCAAAGGCACGTTTTCATACCAGTTTGTACCTGTTCACAGAAAAAAAAAAGAAGAAGAAGAAGACATTATTATAGTATAACAGAGAACGATCTGAATCATTTCTTATTGGTTGTTACCTCTTAGAACAAATGTCTCTTGCAACCCTTAGTCTTATAGGTTCCGAAAAACTTTCTTGAACACCACATTCATCGTTTCCTTATGCGGTTATACTATAAATTTGACATCAAAACGGTATTTCTCCATTGATTTGGCAAGTGTAAAATTCTCGACAATACGCCACTCTCCAGAAACGATAAACCTCTGAAGCTTGTTCACTTGTTGTTTCTTAATAGTGGCATGGATCAAAGTACCTTGTATATGAGTAAAAAACACTCGTGTTAATAATAGGATGACATTGATGTTTACTCAACGATTTCACCTAACTGAAAATGGGATATTTAATTACAGATGTATCAGCAAGAAACATTTATATTGTTTCCCCTGTGTATGTCGTATATTGAGTCCAATAATGCACAATTTTAACTTGGATTCTCCATTGTGTTTTGAAAGGCTTGATGTTAGCAAGATCGGTGAATGCTAGTGGTGCAGCTGCCATTTTCTTGGAAGGAACGGGAAGAGAATAGCTGATTGCTTTAAAAGGTGAGTGTGTAACTTCAATGGCATTCTTTATCCTATATTTATACTAATCCAAAGTCGGCTAGCATTTTATTAGGGTTTAGAGAACTACCACCAAAGAGAATATTTTCGAATAAAAATAGTTAAGGTATATGCTTGATTCGCGGTTTTGATTTTTTGGTAAAACTAATAACTAAATACAGAATAAAGATATTTTGTTATTTTTGGTAAAAACTAATAAATGAAATCTAATATTAGAAAATATATGGGATTGGGTTGGTATAGAAATATCGGTGAAGTGATCTTTTTTCTTTTAATCGAATTTATAGCTTTGCTTGTTATGGTATTATCTTTGAAGCTATTGAATCTAATTTATTCAAACTTTAACTACTGCCCTATTTTCGAATAAGAATAATTAAGGTATATACTTGATTTGTTCCGATATATTTATATAGATTTTTTTTTGGGTAAAACTAATAACTGAATGCGAATTTAAATGAAATTTAAAGAGATTTTGTTATTTTTGGTAAAAATAATAAATGAAATCGAATATAAAGAAATAAGTTTTGTTTTAATAATCGAAATATACGGGATTGGGTTGGGATTGGGTTGTTATAAAAATATCGGTGAAGTGATATTTTTTTAGTTCGAATTTATAGCTTTGCTTGTTATGGAAATATATTTGAAAGTATTGAATTTAATTTATTCATACTTGAATTACTGTAGATCTCAATCCTAAATTCGAGAGCATCATAAAGGCCCTAATAGGTGAAGCCCAATATGATTATTACGGATACAAATTCACAATACGCAGGACCCACGTGCTTTACCGACTATGGTTGGATATAGGTCCGACCCTTAGACCTGAGATCCGCGTGTAAGTGTCAAGAAAATTCTCAATTTCACCCCTCTACGATTTTTTTTATTTAGTTGTAGAATCAAAAATTTGTAATGGCATTTCTTTGTAATTCTTTACACTTTATAAGGTTATTTATTATCCAATGCTTCCCAATTAATAGTATAGATATTTCATATTTAAAAATATAGATATTTAGAAGATTTGGTCAAGATTTAAAAATACAATTCTCCTATCATCTTTGTTTGAATATTTTTTAACTGTTTTGAATCCTCATATAATGCATAAAGTTAAAAAAAAATCAATTTTTTTTACATATATTGGGATTTGAAATTTTTAAAACGGATATATATTACCCAATTGATGAAAAATGTATGTGTTTAACGTCCCATATCGGCTAAAATGTTTAGATATTGATTCAGAATCATATTTTAAATAAGATAAAAATGAATCCAAATCTGAATGAACAAGAAACTCAACTTAATAAGCATCCTAATTTAAAATTAAGTACCGTTTCATTCGGTTTTTTAGTTTAACTGCTTAATTTTACCGAAAATGTTAAAATTTCAACTTTTAAAAAGTTTTAAATAATATAATTCATATTTAAAATCGATAAAAAGTTTATAATATTATGAACATATATAAAGAGTTACAATAACACGAGACGGGTTATATTGGTAGAAAAAGTTATATAACGGGACAAGTTTTTAAGAAGTTTTAAATATTATAATTCATGTATTTAAAATAAATAAAAAATTTCTTATATAAAAACATTTGAACATATATAAAGAGTTAAAATAACATGGGACAGGGTTATATGGCAGGACGGGGTTATATTGTAGAACGGAGTTATATGACGGGACGAGTTTCAATCAAAAAAAATTTAAACATCATTAACCCGCTGTTTCAATACAGTTAAATCTTCATTTTATTACTTTTTTAATACCACCAATATTAAGAGGAGATAATTTGCATAAATTTTTTTATTATAGAAACTATTTAGATAAAATTAGGGTAGTTTGCGAGGATAATTTTTAACTTACAAATTTAACAAGTTACGCTAGAGATATTGCTAGAGAAGTTGATAGAACTTAGGTTAATGTATCGGTATTTAGATTTAAAGGGTCTCGGCTTTGGATAAGACTAGTGTTCGTGCCAATTAGACAAGTGTCAAGTCGGGTTGACAAATGTCGGAGGCAAGCGGAAAAGTGTCAGGTGGGTTTTGACAAATGATGGGTAGAATTTGACAAGTGTTGGGTGGGTTTTAACAAATGTCGGAGACAAGTAGAAAAGTGTCGAGTGGATTTTGACAAATGACGGATATAATTTTACAAGTGTTGGGTGGATTTTGATAAATGTCGGAGACAAGCAGAAAAGTGTCGGGTGGATTTTGACAAATGACCGATAGAACTTGACAAGTGTTGGGTGAAAATAATTTTATAGTAAGGTGTCAATTAGACAAATGTCATATATGTGCTAAAACTGACAATGATTAACAGCGAGATGTGAATTAATCTTGGTCGTTAATTTTTTTTCGATCATCTGATATTTACTTCCAACATCCAATGGTGCACCCTAGACTACCCGACTACTTACATTTAATTATTCGATTAGTGTTTTCGACAAAGCCGGAGATCGATTGTTCTCGATATTTTATCAGATATATGATCTAAGCTTATTGGCCTTTCGATAGCCAATCGATAATTACCTAATTGCATATGATTATATGTTATACTTCTTTCAGACTATCTGAATGAGCCAGATTCTAATCTAAATAAACCCCTAGAATTCCTTGGTATATGTTTCCCCTTACAATTCCACCTTCGAATATGTGTGTAATTGAATAGCGTTCTCAATTCTTTAACATGAAGCCAAAGGCGAGTTGAGTTTGCTAAGACTTGAGAGAGAACTGAATATAAAGAAATTTGAACATTTTTACAGTAGATCATCAAATTGGGATCCAAAGTGTTCAGATTAATATCATCAAATTCTCAGTTGGAATATCATCAAATTTATACGGAGAAACTAGTTGGAATTTGAAATGTTAAGTTGGAATATCATCATCAAATTCTCGGTTGAAATGTATATAGTTTGTGACAAAGATTTGCTTGGGCATCTTGTTTTAGACCATTAGTAAACAATGTTCTAGAAATGTTTGATGAAATACATCAAACAAAAACTATTTGAGTAACTGCCGAACAAAATTAATACTTCAGTAACTAGGGGAGTTACCCGCGCCTTGCGCGGCCAGAATGATTTTTCGAAAAAAAATTCAAATTATAAAGATACAACATAGTTTAGTGATTTTAAAATACGATCGAATTATTAAAAATGATCAAACATAACGTCTCTAGTAAAAATGATTTATCCATCGCTTATAACTCATAATAACACCAAACTAATCAAACATTTCTGTAGAGTTCTCCATGAACACTCAATCATCCGAATCTTAATATCTTGCATTCCTCGCAGTCCATGCTAAAGCCGTTGCAAGTGTACTATATATGGAAAACTTTCTAGGTTAGTAACCGAAACAAATGCGAATATCCAATTAATATATCAGTATAAACTCTGAATTTTAGCGTTCCTTGATATATTCAAGATCATAAAACTCCATGTCAAGGTAAAATCTAGAACATCCACCTCCATTCATGAGACATGGTTTCCCTGAAAAATATTCAATTCGATAAGATCATACAACATATTAACTGTCTTAAGTTTTTTTATTTTTAATATGATAAAGAAATATCAATCAATACCTATATACTAATCGGCCGATTGGAATAATCAAAAGAATTAAAAATTCAAACAATTTTTAGTTTACAAAATTATGTTTTAACATATAGATAAATATATTTTACGAAATGATCACATAAAACTGAAAATGATAAACGTGTATTCTTCAAGACCAAATCTTCAAGATCAATAAAGATTTGACAACGGAGAAAGATTATGCTTGGAGAATAACCATTCAACAATTTTTTTTCTTCTTCTTTTATAATTCTTTATGCAATTGTGTTTTATAGGCCTAAACATTAAGGAAGTTTATAGACTTTGTTAATGATTATATTATACCAAGTATAAATTTGGCATATAGTTTTTACAAAATTTTGTGTAATGCCATACCAAATTATAAAACTATGATTTTTGGATTCATCCTATTACTTACAAAAAAACATAAAATCAACCATTACTTTTATCAACTATGGCTTACAAACAATGTTAATAGTCTATCTTTTACCATATTTACATATTCAAAATTTGTAATGTGATCGCCATTAATAAGTTATAATTAATAATAACAGTTATTTTAAATTATATTAATTGTTTTTATGCACAAAAAACTCAAAAATTGTCTTCTCAAATGCTATTTTTAAATTATAAAAAATTATTATTTATATAAAATAAAGACCTATTGATTAAATCAAAAATGTTCTTCATTGATATGAAAACATAATATAAAAATAAAAAAATTATTAAAAACCAATGAAATATTAAAAACCCTAACATAAGCAAAGGTATAGTAATCTTAAAAACCATAATGCAACAACTAATACGTAGTGGTGAGAGACACAATTTTTTTTATCTCGTCTTTGATTGTCAAGAACTAAATATCATCATCTCTACCAACAAAAACACTTTGCATCGCTTCTATTTAAGGTGTCCAAGTCGTTGATATCTTCATCTCTAGCTTTGAGAGACTTCTAGCATTCATGTGTCCAAGTCGCTGATTGCAGAGCACCAGATCATCCTTCTTAGCTCTAAAACATGTTTTAGTTAGGTTTTCCCACATGTAACAATTGTTCTCAGTACGGATTTCGGAGAGAGCATTGCGGTTCTTCTCATCTGTAGTCCAACATTTCACTTTATTGAAGCTCACTGTTAATCCTTGAACAATATACACATTGGTGAGTTGAGGTTCTTTAGCTTCAGTTAAGTCTCTTTTGCCCTTAATCTTTCCCTTTTCTCCACCACCAAACGTGACTTTGCTCTCTTTTACTTCAGTGTAATTGTTGAGATTGGCTTGATTCCATGTGATATGTCTAGAAGCTCCATTATCGAAGTACCAAAGCTTAGTCATACTTTTTTCAATTAAGGTATATGCAACATGGCAGTACATATCAGATTTTGCAAACATTTACTTTATACTCTCTTCTCTAATGTGGATAGAACCTTCCATGTCTCATTAGCTTCTTCAATTTAGCTGCATATGTGTAGCAGTACATCTATATGTGACCATGACGACCACATCAATAACATTCATACCCAGTCACTGCTCTGTGATAATGGTTATGATTCTGATGCAAACGTCTTGCTCGAACAGCTCCAATGTAGTTTTGAAATAAAAACTGATAACAACGTGCATGTACACCCTTTCTTGGAACGAAATTTGTCTTCCCACTTGTCTCACCTCCATGATAGCCTAATCTAAAATTAGATTTTCCAACTCTCCCAGACCCTAAGTGTAATGCCCTCACCGCCACCTCACTTAATGGGCCCCACGTCCTCTCTCGGCCCGTGGGCCCACTATCTTCTGACGGCCGGTTCGCTATGTCCGAGAGGCTTTAAAGACTTGTTTACCGATCCTACAAATCACCACATGATCTTTCCCTGTGTTTTGTCCTCACTCACACAGTTCCGATAATAACTTCTCAGAAGGTCACCCATCCTAAAATTGTTCCAGCTCAAGCACGCTTAATTGTGGAGTTCTCTCAAGACAGTTGACCGAAAAAATAAGTGCACTTTTGTGACATAGGAGGCCAAATCAATTCTTTTAAACCTCTCCGCATGCACTACCATATTCCTGAAATCGGGGTGTTACAATTCACCCTTACTAACAGATCGCAACGTCCTCGTTACGCACCAAGACCGTCACCCCCGACGGTGTGAGCTCTCTTGACTCCACACTCGACTGGGTTCATCTCTGATACCACTTGTAACGCCCCGACCGCCACCTCTCTTAATGGGACCCACGTCTTCTCTCAGCATGTGGGCCCACTATCTTCCGACGGCCCGTTTGCTACGTTCGGGAGGCTTTAAAGACTTGTTTACCAACCCTACAAATCACCACATGATCTTTCCCTGTGTTTTATCTTCACTCACATAGTTCCGACAATCACTTCCCGGAAGG